CCGGGCCGGGCCGGCGGCCCGCGCCGCTCGATCGCGCAGCCTCCTGGCCGCGCTGCCAGCCCGCCTGCCTGCCGCCAAGAGGCGCCGACCTGGCTGGGGGCACCCTTTGGCTCCGCCTCCCCCACGCCCATGCACCAGCACACACGAGCACACTCTGCGCCGTGGCCCCGTGCTGCCGCAGGCATGATGCAGGGGGTGGAGACGGCTTCGTACGACGCCTGCCTGTACACCGAGACGTTGCTGCTCACCAAGGGCGCCGCCATCAACAGCCCCACCGCGCGCGCAATCGTGAGCCTGCCCAGCCCCGCCTGGCCAGCCGGGTGGTGCTGTGCCACAGCCGCCGTGCTGCTCCCGCCGCTCCCGCGGCCGCTGCCTGCTGCCTTCTGCCCCAGCCCCTCAGCCCGGGGGGCTGCCGCCGGGCGCTGCCACGGGTCGCTGAGGCCCTGCCCGGCCACCGGCACCGCCTCCTGCCAGCCTGCCTATCGTGCCTCCCTGCCTTCCTGTCCTAGAGCCGTCGCCGCTGCCGGGCGCCGCGCTTTCCTCCCAGGTCGTCGGCGCCATGAACTATTACTTTGGAGTGGCCAACCTCACTGACATCGCGCAGGCGCAGCTGGCGCCGGACACAGGCGACGATGTGCAGCCTGGCCTCGCCTCAGCGCTGCTGGCCCAGGTGCGCGCAGCGCTGGGGGCTGGGCTGAGAGCTGGGCGGAGATGCGCGGGACGCCCGCCGAGCTGCGTGCATGGCGTGCAACGGCGGTGTGGTGTGCTGCGGCGGGGTGCCGTCACCACCCTGCTCTGCCTCCCGGACGCTCCCTAGCTTGGGCGGCGGCGGCAGCAGCAGCAGCAGGATGACAAGGGTGAGGGTGCATTGATTGTCCCTTGCAGGTTCTCGGCACCAATGTGACGATTACGGGAGCCATCGAGGCGCTGGAGGTGGGCGGGCGGGAGGGCACACGTGTGGGTGTGGGCGCGGCGAGGCGGGGCAGGAGGCTCAACGCCCGCGCTGCCGAGTGCCCCTGCCCTGGTCCCCCCAAACTAATGCCCGCCCGCATTCCCTTCCCCTCCCTTTCACCTGCCATCCCCCCTCTGCAGACTGCCAACGCCACCCTGTTTGTGTTCCTGTCTGACGGCGGAATACTGGCGCAGGCGGAGGCTGCGGGTGTGGACCCGGAGGCAGTGGCGCTGGTGCAGGAGCTGGAGGACTCGGTGCTGGGCATCCTGCTGAGCAGTGCGCACCGCTCCTGTACCGCTGCTCTACCGCCGCCGTGCTGCTACCTGCACCAGCCCCGCACCCACCCACCGCTTCCCCACACCCGCGCACGACCCCATCCGCGTGCCAGACACCCTGCCCGCCCAGCCCTCGCCTGCCTGACCGCCTGCCTGCCCCGCCCTGCCCTGCCCTGCAGTTGGTGTGCTGCAGGACCTGCTGGTCCGCACCAGCGTGGACCAGCTCTACCACCGGGCCAAGGCCTACATCTGCTGCACAGTCAACTCGCAGGCCCACAGGGTGTGGGTGCCCTGGACAGTGGCCGGCTCCCTCAGCCTCGTGTTTGCTGTCCTGGCCAGCGTGCGGGTGGTGTGGCAGACTGTGGCGGTGCCGCCACCGCCCAGCGGCGGCACCCGAGCCTGCTGCGCGCGCTGGCTGTGCTGCGGAGCGTGCCGCCGCCAGCCGGCGGCCGACCTCGAGCCGGGCGCGGAGCCGCTGGCGGCCGCGGCAGCACCCCTGGGCTCTCAGCTGGCGGCGGACGCTGGCGACGGCGGCTACAGCAGCAAGCCTTTGCAGGGCTCGGCAGCAGGCCTCCCCAGCGGCGGCAGCAATGGCAGCATGGCGCAGGCAGCCGCGGCGCCGCCAGCGGACTGGCTGCTGCCTGCTGGTGCGGGCGGCGCCAATGGCAACATGGCAGACCCTCTCCCAGCTGCCACGTCGGCTGTGTGAGGAGGAGTGAGGAGGAGGCAGCAGCAACTGGCACTGGAGAGGAACCGGTGCCGCTGCTGAATCGAGCCGGTACGCTCGTTACACCCTACCTGTTGATTGCATTCCATCAGGTTAGGATTGAATGCAGCTCCTACTTCAGTGTGGCCCGATACATCTCTCTTCATTTGCCGTCCTCTTTTAGCATGCCATGTGAATAGCCACACGAGGAAAGCAGGTATCTGCTGAAGCTTGAAAGCGTGAGCGCAAGGTGGCGAGGAGAAGCTGGCAGAGCGGCTGCAGGCCTCGGAGGGCGGCTGAGGGAGGTGGAGGGCCAGCACAGGCAGCTGCAGGAGGCACATGGCGTGCTGAAGGTGGCGCATGCGGAGCAGGGCGCCAGCCTGCAGCGGCAGCTGGCGCAAGCACGGCAGCGGCTGAGCGACGCGCTGGAGGCGCAGGAAGCAGTGGCCACGGATGCGGCAGAGGCGGCGGCAGCGGCCGGAGCAGCTGAGTGCTGCCGTGGCGGAGCAGGGAGTGCTTGTGGAGGAGCTGTGTAAGGCGCAGCATTAGGCGGCCACCTACAAAGGCTGCTACCTGGCCGGCCAGCACGCAAACGACAGCCTGCGCCTCCAAATCATGGCGGCAGGGACTGCAGGGCCAGCTGCCGCACACGCAAACAAGCTCGCCCCGACAGTGGCGCACTTCCCACTCTCGCCCACGGCTGGGTGCCCCGCCATCGCCTGCCGCATCACCGCGGCAGCAGCGGCGACACCGGTGGCACGCACGGCAGCAGAAAGGCTCCCTGGCGGGGCTGCCCCCCACCCCAGGCCCCACACGTGTGCAGCATCTTCAGCGTTGCAGCGCAGCAGCGCGACAAGTGGCAGGGCTGCCGCCAAGGAGGCTGGGGGCGGCAGCGCCAGCCCTGACTGCAGCCCTGCCTCCCCCTCCGCCACCTCCGTGTGCATTACCGTGCGCCACTGCGAGCCACGCCACCGTGAGCACGAGTAGTGCTGGCGACGGGGGCGGCGGACTGCTGCCCAACATGTGTGTGTCTATGTTTTTCAACGAGTACAAATGTTAAGGTGATACCATTACAATCCAGCCCCAGCAAGAGGCCCTGCACAGCACAATCCCAGCACTTGCACTTCTTCCAACTGCACAACTCGACAATGACACTATGCATTCAGCAGATGGCGGCGCCACCCAACATGCAGGAATTGGTGAAGCGAGGAGGTGGGGATTTCAGGGATTCAACAGCAGACTTTGCAACACAGCAATACAAACACGTGCAAAGCGGGAAAGCTATTCGAGCGACAGGTCGCGCGAGGACGCTGGCCGCTGGTGCGGGGGCTCCTGCGGGATCGGTGCCACAGGCGCTCCATCCGGGGCATTTGGCATGTCCACCAGCGTGGCTGCGGCACCCACCGTCGCTGCATTTCCAAGGGGCAGAAAGAGCAGGGGCAATGTGTGGCTGCCGTGCGTAGCAGCCAAACCGGCCTCCTTACTGCATTGCAAGCACCCCCCACCAGCAGAAGGGCTTTGAAGCAGGTCTCACCCGAACCATGTGGCCCTGCGGCGCCGCCGCTCGACCCTCCAACTGGCTGCGCTCCAGCGGCGGCTGCGAACAGGGAGAGATTGAGCCCTCAAAACCAGACGTCCATGCATAATAATGTTCCCTTTACGCAAATCTGCCATCAGCAGCTGGTCACTATCAGCAGCAATGAGGCAGCCCTCAAGCACTCGGCCCAGGCCCTCACCTTCGCGCGACGCCTGCGCATGGCCGCCGCCACCCTCGGCAGCTGGCTGCGCAGCGGCACCTGCACACAAGGACAAGCCTGCAACGTAACGAGAAACTCTACAAAAAAACGAGAAACTCCGCACCAGGTTTCATTGTAGCTCACCCCCACAAGAGGAAACCCTCAACACACACCCAGCGGCTGCGCCGCACCGTCGCCCGCCGCATGCTCCTGCTGCTGGTGTGGGTTGGCGCCTGAGCCGGCGCCTGAGAGGCGGCGCTGCGCGAGCTCTGCTCTGCAAGCTGCAAGCTGCCGCTGCAGATCCTGCACACGGTTCAGCAGCTCTAGCTCCTCCTTTGTCGCCGCAGCAGCTTCGTCCTCGTCGCGCTTGCGCTTCTGGTGACGCAGCTGCTTCACCAGGTCGTCATTGTGCTGCTGCAGCAGCTGCACCAGGTCGTCATGGTGCTGCCGCAGCTGCTGCTGCTGCTGCTGGTACACCTGCTGCTGCTGCTGCTGCTGCTTGTACACCTGCTCTAGTGCAGCCAGCTCAGCGTCCCGATTGCGCAGCTGCCTGTCTTGTTCTCGCACCCTGGCTTGGCAAGTTAGGAGGTCATGGCGCAGGCGCGCGATCTCCTGTTGATCCTGCTCTGCTGACATCCTGCACAGCCAATGGAGGAGCAGTTTAGTGGGGCGCAGCCGTCTTCCCGCCGCGCCACCTCCCCATCGGAGGCCGCCCAGCGGCGGCCGATGGCCCAGCGGCGGACGCCGCCACTAGTGGCCCGAGTCCAAGGGCAGGCTGACGGTGCAGCAGGCCCTTGGGCGTCGCAACCATTGGGCAGCAGGAGCAGGAGGGTGGTGCAAGAGTACCACAACATTTGTGAGGAGGTCTACCCACCTGTGCACTGCTGGTGTAAGCTTGCGCGGCAGGCGTATGAACGCGCGTTCGGAAACACAATCACGGGCCTCCAGCTCCTCAACTGCGAAACGCACGCGCTTTGGGGCCATTCTGTATGACTCAGATGGCTTCGGAGGGGTTTCTGCAGTGGGTGCTTTTCAACCAGGGTCCCAGCTAGCCTGGAATTAGTCGCATCTGCCTCAAAATAATGGTCGGGCCGGGGTAGCTCGAAGCACGGTCCTCCGTGGCGCGCTGCATCATGCATGGGGCGGGTCGACCCTCTGTTTTCTTTTGTGTTTCTCTCGGATACCCCGCGTGCCGGTTGCCGGAACGCGCGATTTCGGGCTGGAAGGCACCCACGCGGTCGTGCCCTCCCGCCGCCCCTGGCCTCCTCATGCCTCTCTGCTGCTGCGTGTCTTTCTGCTGCTGCGTTCACGGTTTCCGCGGCGGGTGGAGGGGTGAACACCAAGAAAAAAAGGGTGTTCGCCGGCCGCATGTCCGCATGCCGCATGGCCGCCCGCACTGCAGCGCCTCTTTCATCCATTGCTCGATAGAACCCATCAATAAACGTGTCAATAAGCCATTGCAGGCCGGCCAGAGGCCCGCAGCAGCGACTAGGAGCCTCGCCTCTGGTGCCCTTTCGGGGGCTTTGGCTACCGCTCTGGGCCGCCCAGCACGCTCTAAACGGCTCCATAGGATGGAATATAAGGCCGCCTCTGCGCCCCGCAGCAGTCGCCCACAGGGCGGCGGTGGCCGCTGCTGCTGCCAAGCCGCCCTGCCGGCAGGGGCAGCTGCGCGGCGCCAGGACGACGACCTGATTCCCACCTGGGGCTGTCACACAGGGAGCAGTATGATGGGGAGGTCTTGACCATGACCAGGGCGAGGAGCAGGCACACACGGCGCAGCCGCTAAACAGCGGCCGACGGCGCAGGCTGCTGCCACCTGCGGCCAGCAGGGCATGGCTGCCGGCAGCGTTGCTGCTGCCGCACTGCGGCCAGGGGCTGCCGGCGAGGGCAGCAGAAAGTGAAAGCCAGGTGAGCAGGGTGCAGGGGGATGTGTAATCTGCGCGAGCTGGCCCACCACCTCCCATACTCCTTGATCTCTTCCCCCTCTTCCGCCCATGCCCAAACTTCCTGTTGTGACCCCTTAATGATAGTGGTAGGGGGGTGGACCACTTTAATCAGATGCGCTAATCAAATGCGCATGCGCTGCAATGCTAGGGGCACGCCAGGTCAGCCAGCACCACTAGCGGGCCGCCATGCGCCTGGCATTTTCACGGCTGCACCCCGACGCGCCGCTTTGTGTGACAGCAGAACAGCTCCCCTGCCACCCCAATTCCCAATTCCCAACCCACAAATTTTACTTTTTCGAACGATCGAATCAATCAAAGCGCGCCCGCGGATATTCAAACAGCCTGCAGATATTTTCATATCAGCAGACTGACTTTTCACCCACCTGTCACAGATTTTCCCTCGCCCGTTCGGTTTTTTGCCGACAGCTGGCTAGCAGCCAGACTATATAAGGAGCCTCGATGCCCTGACAAGATCATCTTTTCTCTCCCTTTGTGCTGGAGTGCCCCTGTGTAATAACAGGCGCCCGCCGCCCCAGCCCCGCCCCAAGGAGAAGGATCCTGCCGCTGCGACCAGCGCTCGGCAGTCACCCCAGCGCTCTCACGAGGCTCCCCGCTCTCACACAAAGACAAAACAGGCCGGCCGGAACCTTCTGGACCCGCGCCGCCTTTTTGCTACCACACTTTGCCGATTGCGCCGCTCCTCTGCAGCCACCACCCCATCCAGCAGCACCACCCCCTAAAGTCCTGCACATGGCAACCACGCTAGAACCCGCCCGGTGGAAGGGATAGAAAGAGCAACAGCACACAGGGCTGCTCCCTCTGCTCTGCTCTGGCAGCAGCAGCGCCATCAGCCTGCGGCGGAAAGGGAAGCATCACTCACCAGCAGCAGCGAGTTCCAGCTTCATCTGCCCCTCAGCTGCATGCTCCTGCCACGCTCGCTGCGCTGCTTTCGATCAAGGCCCGGCACAGCCACCACAGCCCTGCCCGCCAAGCCGCTGGCTGCTGCCCCCCGTCCGCCGCATCCATGGCGGCTGCCACAGCCACGCCAGCAGCGTGACGCCCAACCAACAGGCTTCAACTGCAGCGCCTGACAGCAGCTCAGCAGCAGCCTTGGCCTGGCTGCCGTGAGTTGCTGAACACCGCCGCCACTGCCGCCAGCGCCGAACGGCAGGGGCATGGGAAGTCCGGGATCTTGGCAGGGCACAGCTGAAGGCTCCTAGGCGGGCTGCAGGTTGCTCTCCGTCCTGGAGCCGCTGGCCTGGCGCTGCAGCATGCATGGCAAACTGGCTGCCTGTGAGCCAGGTGCCTGCTACTTAGGTAGGCCGGCTGTCGGAAGGGGGGTGTGGGGCGCTAGGTGCATTGCACTTGGGGCCTGCTGCCTCTGCTGGCGCCGTCATCTCTGTTGCCTGCTTCCTGACGCGATGTGCATGCTGCTCTGCACACTCCCGGAGCTGCAGCACGCTGACCTGCCCCTCTGACTCTGGCAGCGCAGGCTGGGGGCGGGCGCTGCGGCTTGCACGCCGCGTCCACTGCCATGGCCTGCGCCTGCTTTGCTTTGCCCGCATTCAGCCGCTCCCCCCGCTGTTTGTCGCCTGTCCACCGCTTTGGCTGCCTCCCCTGCTGCTTCCCCTTGGCCAGAGTGGTGCAGTAATTGCTACAGCGCAAACATGAACAGTAGACTGCCCAAGACAGCCACCTGCGCCGCTAAAGCCGAAAAAACTCATGCATTGCAGGTAAGGGGCCTGGGAGAGGCCCTCACACCTGTCAGGGAAGGCTGCTCTGACCTTGCGCATCCTCTGAAATTGAGGGGTGGCTCTCTGCCGCTCTAACACCTGGCTAGCCTGCAGCGCTGTCCACCCGCCGCCCACCCGCCGCTGTGTGCCGGCCAATTACAGCATTGACCAGTGCACAAGTGCCGTCCCTTCAATCAACCACTCTGTCCCCGCCTCCTCCTGATGCGCAGGGAGCTCCAGACAGTCTGGCAGCAATGTGCCAACATGCGCGCCACCTCAGCGGATGCCAGCTGGAGCCAAATTGGTCTCGGTCCCAGGAGGTGCTTTCGGTATTGTAGAGGATGTCCGTCAGCGCCGTTGCCGCCGCCGGCACGGCCCTGGCGCTGTATTACTATGGGCGGCGCGGGGGGGTGTGCTCGGGCTCTGGGGAGCCCGTGGAAACCCACGTTGGTCTGGTGCAGGCTCCCACGTCTTTCATGGACGACCTGTTCTTCCTGGCAGAGGGATTGAGGTGGGTGGTGGTCTCGCACCGCGTGGATCGCGGCGGCAGCTGCACGTGCCGAGAGGAGCTGCTGTCACCGTGCCGAGAGGAGCAGCGTCGCGCCGGGCTGGCGTGCCTCGGCCGGCACCCCGCCGCTGCCACCGCCCAGGCGGCGGGTGCGCCGGCGCCTGCCGCCTGCCGCCTGCCCAGCGTGCCCCAGGCTGGCTCTTGTGTGGCGCCTCTGCAGGTACACATATGGCGAGACGCTGGGGCGCTGGCGCACCGCAGACTTGCTGATCGGCCTGGCTTACCTCTGCCGCAAGGCAAGTGGCGCCTACGGCCGTTGCCGCTGCCTCTCGGACTCGGCCCACTGTCTCCGGCTACCAGCATGTGGCGGCCATGCCTCTTGACTGCCTGCATTTGTCTGTCCCTGCTGCGCCCCAGCAGGACCCAGAGGAGCATCCGGTGGCAGACATTGCACAGCTGGGGCGGCCCTTTGGGCGCGGCCTGGCGCCCCAGCAGTGGCCAGAGGCGCTGGTGAGCTGCCGGGGCCGGGTGGGGCGGGGCGCTGGCAAGACGCCTGTGCACTCTGCATGGCAGCCCAGCGGCGACGGTGGAGGCATGCCGCGGCGGCAGCTGCAGCAGGCGCAGCTGCTCGCGCTCTGCCGCGTCCCCACTGCCTCTCCTCGATCCCTCACGCTCTCTCGTGCGCGCACCCATGCACTGCACTCATGCACTGCACCCATGCACCCCACACAGGCCCAGCTGCGGGAGCTGGACCGATTCTTCCGGTACTGCTCCGGCCTGAGGGAGCGCCGGCCGCTGCCGCAGCGCCAGTACTTCCGTACCGTACTGGACGTCACGGGTGGGCTGCCGCCGCTGCCGCTGCCGCTGCCGCCTGCTGCTGTCGCTGCTGCCGCTGCTGCTGTCGCTGCTGCTGCTGCCAGCCGCATCTGCTGCTGTCACTGTCGCTGCCGCTGCTGCCCGTCGCACCTGCTGGGAACCGCTGCTGCTCCTGTTGCTGTTGCTGCTGCTGCTGCTGCTGCTGCTGCTGGTTCGCCTGCTGGGCGCCCTGCCGGCCCAGCTGCTTCCCGGGCGCTGTCGAGTTGCAGCTGCCGGCCGGCCCTCCCCGCCTGCCTGCCGACTGTGAGCGGTGCTCCCCCGGCTGCGACTGTGATGCAGATGAGGATCTACTGATGCAGGAGCTGCGGGCGGGGGTGCTCAAGCCAAGCTTTGTGCTGGTCAGGTGTGTGTCTGTGTGAGGGGGGGATGCATGTTGATGAAGAGGCATGCACCTCACTGTTGCGATACGCAATGGTGAAAGGGGGTGGCTTCTCAAGCGCCGCCCTTGTTGTCCCAAACCCGCATCCTGCCGCTGCGGTCCTCGCTGCCGCCGCCGCAGGGACCGCCAGCTCAAGGCTGTGGTGCTGGCCATCCGCGGCACGCACAGCTTCAAGGACATGTTCACCTCGCTGACGGGTGAGGGCTGGAACGATAGTTTTGCAGTTGCTTCGTACTGTAACGACGACCCAATGGGACGCCGCTATAGAGTAGCCTTGCAGGGCGCTGATTCCACGCCAAATGCCGCCGGCCCTGGCGGGTCGTGCCTGCTCGCCGCGTGCCTGTGTGCGCCTCTCCAGCCCGCGCCCTCTCCCGCCACGCTCCCACCACTCGCTCGCCTTGCGCTCCCACCATTCAATGCCCCTCCCGACAGACGTGTCACCCAGCCTCACTCGCTTGCACGGAAACGTCATGCCTCTGTTTCCTGCTTGCCCGCCCGCCACCACCGCCGCCCACCCGCGCCTGCCTGGCCCCCTGGCCCCTTCCTGCCGCCGCCCACGCAGGCGCCTCCAAGCCGCACCACCTAGTGGATGCCAACGGAGTGGTGCTGGGCTACAGCCACTTTGGCATGCTGGCGGCGGCGCGGTGGATCAAGGGCCAGACGCGGCAGCGCATGGAGCAGGCACTGGCAGAAAACCCGGGTAGGTTGGGGGCTGGTGGTGGTGTTGGTGGTGCTGGCGGGGTTGGGGGGCGGGGGGGTAGCGGGGGCAGGGAGGAGACGAGCTGCCGGCCGACAGCGTGGGCAGTCCCACCACACGCACCCACCCCTGCCACCACCACGCATATCCGGCAACCCCCTCCCCCTCTCCACCATGCACCGCAGGCTACCGCCTGAGCATCATCGGCCATTCGCTGGGCGGCGGCACCGCGGCGCTGCTCACCATGATGCTGCGGGAGGCGGGTGGGCACTAGCGCTGCCGCCAGCACCATCGCCGCGCCTGGCGTGTGTTCCTCCAGCCCTTGGGATCTGTTTCGGTTCGCTGGCTGGCCTGCTGGCGTCGCGCCCGGCGAGCAGGCTGCAGCGCTTGCCCTGCGCTGGCCGGGCAGCAGTCGGTGCGGGGAAGGCCGGAGCTCAGCCCCGCCGCTGCTGCCGCCGCTTGGCCCCCTGCTGCTGCAGGAGGCCCGTTTGCGGGGGTGACCTGCATCGCTGTCGCCTGCCCCTCCTGCATGACGCTGGAACTGGCGCAGAGCTGCTCAGACTATGTGGTGGGCCCGCGGGGCCGGGTGGCATGCTGGGGGCTTCTGGTTTGGGGTGCATGGGTGGTGGTGGTGGTGTGAGTGCGGGGACATGTGGCGCCCCCCCTGCCAACTCGCCCCCACCCACGCCTGGCATGCACATGGTTGCCGCTTCAATCCCTCTACCCCTGTTCCTCTCCTCCGCCCCGGCTCCTTCCGTCCCCCTATCCACCGCCCTTCTCACCCTGGCCCGCCCACCCCCTCCCCGCGTGCCACGCGCCCCCACCGTAGACCACCGTCGTGCACAACGCCGACGTCATCCCCACCATCTGCCCAGGGTCGGCCGACGCGCTGCGGGAGGAGGTGATGCGCAGGTGGGTGCGGGCGGTGGCGGTACTGCTGTACTTCTGGTACCGCTGGTACTGCTGACTGCGGGCCGGTGCTCCTGCGTGGCGGCCGCGCCCGTCCTGGCGGCCCGTCCCGCCTGTTCCTCCCCCCCTGTGCTGCTGCTCGCTGTCCGGCCTGCCTGCCTGCCTGCCTGCCTGCCTCCCGGCCTCGCCAGCCATCCCTCCCCCCACCCCCACCCCCACGTGCCCTCAAGCATGCTCACGGTCCCCATCCACACGTCCCCCTGCCGCAGCTCCTGGTTTGGCGAGTTCCGCCGCGATGTGCGCTCCTCGGGCATCGTGCGCGCGGTGGAGTGCGGCATTCGCGGCGTGGGCTCCGCCACCCTCACCGCGACCAGCTGGACCACCAGCAAGGTGGGCAGGGGTGGGGTGGGGTGGGGAGGGAGGGAGGGAGGGGTGGGGAGGTGCGTGGGTTCGTGGCAGGGGCATGTGGAAGGGTGGGGTGGGGAGGCTGGTTGGGGAGGCTGTGATGGAGGGTGCATGGGGATCCCGCTGTCGCCAGCGTCAGCTCAAGCTGCTCCTCCTGCCGCTGCCCCGCCGCTCTCCTCCCTCCTGGCCCGCAGCTGGCGGCCTGCTATCAACGCGGCTCGTTTGCCGGCGCCAGCCGGCGGCGGCAGCCGCTCAAGCGGCGGAACAGCGACGACAGCCTGGCGGCCACGGCGGCGGCCGAGCAGCCTGCCGCCGCTTCGGCTCCGGCCCTGGCTGGAGGCGGCTGCGACGCGGAGGCGTCTTCCTCGGCGTTGCCCGTGTCCACTTCGGTGCCAGCCAGCAGCAGCCAGAACCTGTTGACCGCTGCAGGGGAGGACGGGGAGGCTGCAGGCCGCTCCGGTGGCAGCCAGGGGCAGTGGGCTGCCGCCTGGAGCCAGCGGGTGAGCCAGCAGCTCAGCGGGCGCAGCGCGGCGGTGCTGAGCAGCACCAGCCAGGTCCTGCGCAACACCAGCGGCGTGCTGCGCTCCACCAGCGGCCTGCTGCTGCGCCGCATGTGGCCCGGCGGCGAGGCAGAGCCCGCCGCCGGCGGCCAGGCAGCCGCGCCCGACGGCGGCGGCAGGGACTCCTCGCCCAGCAACACCCCGGCAGGCATCGGCTCCGGCGGCCCCTTTGCGGGAGCGGCTGCTGATGTGGCGCCTGGGCCGATGGAGATAGATGAGGAGGAGGACAGCTATGAGGAGGTGGAGGCGGAGGCGGAGGAGGCATTTCTGCTGGAGGCGGAGGCGGCGGCGGAGGCGGCGGGTGGGGGCCCGCAGGGGCGCATGAGCTACCAGGAGCGGCGGCAGATGCGTGTGCAGCTGCAGATGGACCGCAGGTGAGGCTGCTGCTGGCGCCGCCGCCGCCGCCGCTGATGCCGCTGATCCGATGCCGCTGCAGCCGGCCGCCGCTCCTGCAGGCTCCGCATCGCGTGCGGTCCCCTGCTGGCAGCTGCTCCCGCTCCCGCTGGTCTTGCCGGCTCTGCTCCTCGCTCCCATGCCTCCCTCGCGCCGACCTGCCTGGCCGCCCTGCCCGCCCGCCTGCCTGCCTGCAGCGGCAGCCTGGAGGAGGAGGTGAGCCTGCGGATGCACGAGGTGCAGCAGGCGGTGCAGGATGCGGAGGAGGAGGAGGAGGCGATGGGCCGCGACGACAGCACGGGTGGGTGGGCGATGGTGCAGGGCGCTGGTGCAGGGTGGCGTGCGTGCGTGTGGTGGCGCTGGCGGTGGTGGCTGGCGGATGGCGCGGCCGCCTGCCTGCCTTCCTGCTTGCTGCTGATGGCGGCGCTTCGCGCGCCCTTGGGCAAGCCTGCAGCGAGTAGCCTGCATGTACCTGCCACGACGAGTGTATGACCCGACCGTACCGTACCTTACCCTGTGGGCGGCGCTCCCCTGCCTGCCTGCTTGCCTGCCATGCAGTGCCCGCCGTCATCCGTCCGGGCGGGTACGGCATCGGCGGCGCCAGCTCGTCGCCCCGCATCTCCCCCAGGTGACCGCCTGGCACGGGATGGCATGCTGGGGATGCTGGGCGTGCTGTGCACGCCGGGTGGCCGCCCCACCTGGCTGCCTGCTTCTGCGCCTCCCCGCAGCAGGCAGCGGCGCTCCTTACCTTGCTCTGCTTGCCTGCCCATCTGGTTGCCTGCCTGGTGCATGCTGCCTGCCACAGACGCTCCCTACCTGCTCGCCTTCTCCCCCGATGCAGCAAGCGGGACCCTCAGTGGAAGCGGCACATGTACCCAGCAGGTGCCTTCTGCCTGGGAATACCCTGCTCTGCTCTGCCTCTGTTTTGTTGCCGCCACGACGGGGGCATGTGCTGCCCTGGCCGGGCGCTGCGCTGCTGGTCGCGGCGCCGGCAGGCCCGGCCCTGTTTGTTGCGCTGCACGGCTGCCGGCTGCCGCTCCGTGCGCGCCTTGCGGCTGGGCTGCATGCGCCGCGGCCATCTGCTGGCTGACCTGGCTGGCTGTTGTACCGCTCGCTTGCCCCCGCAGGCCGCATTCTGCACCTTGTGCCCGCCCGGCTGGTCCCCGGCACCGCCGCCCACGCCGCCGCAGAGGCGGCGGCGGCTCGGGAGGCCAAGCTGGCGGCCGCTGCGGCGGAGGCAGCCGAGCACGAGCAGCGCGCCTGTGCAGCAGCAGCGGCGGCGGCGGGAGGAGCGGGAGGGGACGGGCAAGGTCCCGCGGCAGCAGCAGGCGCGGCCGGCGGCGGCGGCGTTGCGCCAGACGGCGGCGCCGCCTCTGGCCCCGCTGCCCCCAAGCACGCCTCCAAGCTGAGCGTGAGTGACCTCATTGCCGGCGACGGGCTGCTAGGGCAGCGCAGCGGCGCCATCTGGCCAGACGACGGCAGCAGCGGCGGGGGGCAGCAGGAGGGCGCGGCGCCGCCGCCCGCGGGGCCGCAGCAGCCGGGTCAGCAGCAGCAGCAGCAGCAGCAGCAGCAGCAACCGCAAGAGGAAATGCTGCTTCTGGACTGCGTGCCCCAGGAGGGCTATGCTCGGATCAAGCTCTGCCGGTGAGCCTCCACCGCTTGCCTGCATGCCTGCATGGCGCTCGTCTCTTGCCTCAGCTGCCGGCGTGCTCGCCCGGCGCCCGCGCCTCGCTTGTGCTCCCTGCTGCGTCCGCGAGCGTTTACGAGTTAGCGCCTGCGGTTAGCTTGTGTCTGCCTGCTGCGTTCACGCCGACTCGTGCCGCTGCCTGCCTTGCCCCTTGGTGTAATGTGTTCCTTTCCTCCCCGGCTGCTGCTGCAGTACCGTTCTGTCAGACCACATCATCCCCAACTACCTGCGCTCATTGGAAAGCGCGCTAGAGCACATCCAGGAGCACGCCCTGGTGGTGGCGCCCGCACCCGGAGGAAGAGCCGGGGCAGGCGACGCGGCGGCGGCAGCGGCGGCGGCGGCAGCACAGGCGGAGGACGGAGCAGCGGCAGCGGCAGCGGCGCCGCCGCAGCAGCCGCCCTCGCTGGCGCACCCTGCGGTGCCTGGCGGCAGCCCTGTGGCGGCGGCGGCGGCGGCGGCGCTGCGCGGCGCGGCTGCCAGGTCGTCGTTTGCACGCGGAGGCAAGCTGGACTGAAGAGGCAGCGGCGCCGGCATGTGTTGCCCGCTGATGTGGCGACACATGCTCCTCAGCAATCCTTGCCCTTTTTGTTGTTTCCGCCTGCCTCGTCTCCCCTCCTTTTTGGTTTTAGAAATCAGCTCCAGTTTCAGCACTGTAAAGAGATCAACATCAAGTGAACAACCCGGTGAATCTGGGAGCAGTACAACACACGTGGCGGCGGTCCTGCGGTGGATCTCCGATCAACCCAAGGACCAGGCTGCCTTGGAGCCTTTTCCTCAGCCCATCTGCTGAGCCTGCACGAGCATCATGGCCGCCCGCGCCGCCACCTTCCTCCTGCTGCTATGCCTGGCGGGCGCCGGCAGCGGTGAGCGCTGCTGCTGCCTTGGGGCCCTTGGACGCCTTCTGCGTGGGATGCCAGGCGTTGCGGGGCGCCAGTGTGGCATTCCAAGGTTCCTTCAGGGGGCTCAGTGCTGCGTGGCACGTCGTCCCGGGGCCTGCGGGGCGGGACAAGCGCCCCATGATGCTGTTTCGCCTCTCGCTGCCAAACCCTGATGAGGCCACTGTACGGGGAACGCACTTTTCTTGTCCATTCCTCCTCATGCAGTGCTGGGGCAGCCCAGCCGCGCCCAGCTCTGCACCTCGCTGGCCGCCCCCGTGCCCGGCGCCTGCAAGTCGACGATGTGACGCCTGCTGCGCTCTGCTGTGCTGCCGCGGGATGCACTGCAGCCCGTGCCGCGCCGTCCCCGCCGGGCCGTGTGGATGGCGCTGATGCGCATGCCCTTCACCTGCCCCGCTCTTGCCCGCATGCAGCGACTTTCTGAACAAGCAGGCGGGGTGGAACCTGGCCGCCGAGAGGCTGCCAGACAAGAGCAAGGTGCCGACAGCACGCTGCACTATGCTTGCACCCCTGCTCACAGGGGAAGGTCCCGCCAGATGTGGCCGCGTCCGGAGCCGCGCCGCCCTGCCTGCCCTGCCCCGGCCCGCCCGCCCACCGATTGCTGTAGCAGCTATTCCGCCCCTGCCGGCTAATGCTACAGCTAAAGCCGCACGCAGGTCACTGACCTGCTGGACAGCAACCCCAAGGCCAAGCCCTCACAGGGCTGCTGCAACGCCATCAAGAAGGTGCCCGCCCGCCGCTAGGGGCAGCGCTGCCACCCCTCACGGGCACTGCCGCCGCCTGCGTGTGGTAAACTCAGCATGCCCCATGCGCTCACTCTGATTGGCTGCTCTCCACCTTGCAGTGTGTTGCGATGGCAGGCAGGCTGTGTTCATGCTCTCTGCCGCCCGCCGTCCCCCGCTGGCTGCAGTTTGACGACCCCGGCTGCGGCTGTGAGGAGCCCGGTCCGCGCAGCATCGACGCCACCACGCAGGGCCTGCAGGGACGTGAGTAGCGTGGCTAGTAGCGTAGATCTTCCTCCTGCCTTTATTCGCCCGCATGCTTCCTCTAGGCCCGTCCCACCCAACACGTGCTGCCTGCCTGCGCCCCTTGTGCAGTGGCCTGGCTCGCCAGCGTGCAGGGCTTCAACTTCGAGCCCTTTGAGTGCCAGTGCCAGGTGGCAGAGGAAGGCCTGGCTGAGCAGGGGGCGGGCTACGGCGGCACCCGCGCCATCAACGGCTGAGCCTCACTGAGGCTGCCGGATGGGCCTGAGCAGGCCTGCATGAGCACCGCTGGACCAATGGCAGCGGGGCTGCTCGAGTGAGAAGGGGGCTTAGCAGGCTGGAAACGGGAAGGGGAGCAGGCACCTCGCTGCTGCACAACTGGCTGCACAGCTGGCAGCCTACACCGGTTTGATTGCTTGGCAACGACTACTGCTATCAGGCACCAAGCTTGGATTGGTGGGTCCACTGCAGTTTGTGTGTGTGTGCGATGTAAAAAAGGCAAAGAATATCACAAGCATTACAGCGGCGGCAGGGCGGCGCGGGCGGTGATTTCCCTCAGTTCTGACGTTCGCTGGCAGTCCTTTTCATTCGTCTGTGCTTGGCCAGGGCAGGGCTTCAACTCATAGGAGCAGCGCCAGGGCCAGCGCAGCCGCCGCAGCTGCCGCTGCGACCCTGGCCGCCGCGCCCGCCGCCGCCGCCATGCCCGAGCTGGGCGGCAGCTCTGCGGGCGCAGGCGCCGGGGCCGGAGCCAGCTGTGCCTGGGCGTCGTCCTGCAGGCAGCGGCAGGCATGCAAGCTGGCGGTTGCAGCGGCAACTCGGCGGGATGGGGGCACTGGCGATGCCGACGGCGCCGCTCACACCAACCGATGTCCCCTCGGCTGCCTCGCCTAGCCTGGCAGCGAGGCTGCGGATGCCACAGCTCCTCCCAGAGCGGCGGCGGCTCACCGATGGAAACATGAAGACTGGCTCGGTTGTGTAGCGGGAAGGGGCGAGGGAGGGGGCGGGGGCGGGGGCCGGGGCCGGGATGGGAGCCGGGGCCGGCGCCGGCACAGGCGCAGGAGCCGCTCCAACAGCAGCTGCAGACTCGGGCAGAATGACGGGCGCAGGGGGTGGGCTGAGGCTGAGGCTGAGGCTTGGCAGCGGCGGCGGCGGCGGCAGGGTGGGCGAGGCGCTGGGCGGGGCTGCGGGGGTGGGCGAGGGCCCCAGGGAGGTGGATCGCGTGGAGACGGGGGCGGGCCCCGCGCCGCCGGCGTTGCCGCAGCCCAGGCTGGCGGGGGTGAGCTGGGAGGAGGGCACCGGGTGCTGCATCCAGGCCAGCAGCTGGCGTATGGTGACAAAGTAGACGTCGGGCTTGGACAGAGCGTAGTCTGCAGGTGCACAGGCAGGCGGGAGCGGGGAGGGGGCCGGGACGGCTTGGCAGGGGGCGGTGGGTGGGCCTCCAAAAATGGCGCAGCCAGGCGGCGGGTGCAGGGAGATGGGCGGGCACCCGCCCCCGCCGCTGCTGCTGCCGGCCCTCCCCACCACACCACCACACACCACACCTCCAGCCCAGCCCAGGCAGGACCCCCCATTCACCCACCCACCCACCCACCCACCCCACACCCCCCTGCCTCACCCGCAAACCTCTGCATGGCCTTGGAGTTGGCCTGCAGCCAGGGCGTATGGATGAAGACGGGAACGGGGGCGCGGTTGCCGCCGTACGCCGCGTCAAAGGTGGCCCGCAGCACGCTGTACGCGTCGTGCTGGCTGTCGCCGTAGTCCATGCTAAACAGGCCGGCCGCGTTCACGCCCCACACTGCGGCACCCGGGGGTTTGTGGTGTGGGGGCGAGGGTGTTTGTGCGCGAGCGGGCGGCAACGGGAGAGGGTGGCAGCGGGCCGGCACAGACAGCAGGCGCAGCAGGCGCAGAACGGCGTCGCGAAGAAAGCTTCAGGCTGCGAGCGGTGGCCACCCGCTAGTGCTGCCCGCACCTGGCACCTCAAACATGCCGGGGTAGCGCTCAGCTGGGTCGCAGCTCTGGGCCGGCTCATACCTGCCAGGGCACGGTGCGCAAGGGAGGGGCGTGCGTCAGCCGGGCAGCAGGGGCCGCCGCCCCCTTCGGCTGCCGGCGGTGCCGCATCTCCCCTGCAACAGAGGCCCTGTGCTTCCTCCGCGCTCGCCCCCCTGCACCCCGCACAGCGGCTGTCCGCCTGCCTGCCTGCCTGCCTGTCCGCCTGCCTGCCTGCCAAGCCTGCCTGCCAAGCCTGTCTGCCAAGCCTGCCTGCCTGCCGGTCACACCCAGGAGGGGCCTGCTCACCAGGCACAGTTCTGCGGGATGCCGTCCTGCAGGGTGTAGGGCCACACCCGGGCGGCCATGCCGCGGGTCAGCGAGGCGCCAGACGGCTCCTCAAGCAGGGTGGCATCGTACAGGAAGCCGGCCTCGGCCAGCACCTGCGGTGCAGGCGTGGCAGGGGAGGCGGGGAAGGCAGGGCAGGGGGTCCGGGTGGGAGGTGCGCGTCCGGGTTAGGGAGGTGGGCAGGCACCCCGCCGCCGCGCCAGCCTCACAGGCCAGGCTCGGCCCTGCTGTGCCCCCGAGCTGGCTCCCCTGCCACGATGTGTAGGAGGCGTACAGGGGATGTCTATGCCAGCCCACCTGGCGCACGGCGGGGCTGGCCTGCAGGTACGGCTGGCGGAAGCCGGCGATGTCGGCGGCGGGGATGCCGCAGGCGGAGGACAGCCGCTGCCGCGCGCCCACCACCTCCTGCACCACCTGCGCCCGCGGCAGGCCGTTCATCTGCGGCGCGGGGAGGCGCGGGGGCGGGTGGCAGGCAGGGGCGGGGTTGGGGGAGGGCAGCAGGCGCGGCTGGCAGTCGCTAGCGAGGGAGTACGCTCAGTCGGGCGCAGAGCAGGGCGTAGCTGAAAGGTCGAGCCTCTTTCAGTTGCTGTTGCAGCAGGCAGAGCACCATGTGCTATGCACGCTGCAGGCCGCATGGCGCAGCACAGAGCAGGTGCGTGCCAAGGCAGCACCTGGGCGTGGGTCAAGGTGTGGTCGGCAATCTCGTAGCCGGCCTGGTGCAGGCTGCGCAGCTTGGCGCAGTCTGCAGGGGGAAAGGAAGGGCATGGCAGGGCGGCCGCGCGGGCGGTGGCGTGAGCATCAACCGCCACCGGCGAGGGGCCTGCCGCCGCGGCACGGCTGGCAGCCGGGGTCCAGGGCCCGCGGGAGCTCCCACGCACCTGTGTCCTGGAAAGTGGTGAACATTGTGGCCACGGCGGGGCACCCGTTCCTGCTCTGCTTGCCCTTCAGGATGGCCTGCATGACCTGGTAGGTGGTAGGGGTGATGGCATCGTCGTGCTGCACACTCGCAAATGGGGAGGAGAGGCCGCCAGGGAGGCAGCCGGTGAGCGCGGGCGCGGGTATTCTCGAGTATGGTGCTGCGTGCACCAGTGCATCAGGGCGGGCGGCGCAGCGCTGGCGTGCGCTCACTGTGAACAGCACAAACTGAGGGGTGTTGGCGGGGGCGAGGCCGCCTGGCGGCGAGGTGGAGGGGCAGATGCAGGGCCCGCTGCTGTTATGCGTCGGGCAGGTGCACGAGTACCAGCTGGGAGCGGAGGCTGCCGCGCCTGTGTCGAAGAGGGAGCGAGGGGCTTCAGTGAGAGTGAGAGGGTGCCGGGCAGAGCGGCCGTCATCTGTTTAGATGACTCGCATCGCCGCCATCGCCGCCATCGCCGCCATCGGGAGATGGGCCGCACTCGTCGCGGCTCACCAGCGGCACCCGCCAGCATTAAGGCCGCCAGCAAGCAAGCCCTGAAGGTTCCGGGCATCGTCTGTGGCGTGTGGGCTTGCCGCCTGGGGTTTGCAGTCTGCGGGAAGGCAGCTTGCGGAGACATACGCCCCTGAAATGGGGCAGGAGACGCTTTTCAAGCGTCGATGCAAGCTTGCAAGCGGTTTCACCCTCACTTGGCCGCGGAGAGACTGGAGGCCGGTGGAGTTGGCCGCGGAAACGAAGAACACTGCTGCTGAATGCACTTCGCCAATGGCGGAATGCACATGGCAACGGGGGAGGGCAAATCGAGGCCTGCAATACTGCCAGCTGTGGCTCAACAGAACGCGGTGGCAAGGGGAAGAAAGTGCAGAGAGAGTGCCACGTGGCATCAGAATGTCAACGTATTTTTCGCAGCGGAGGGACCTTTACATCTGTACACGCTCATGAACCCACCACAAACATCAACAAGAGATTGTATGTGCTGCTGCAGGGCGCCACAGCAACAGGGCCCTGGCGCCCCCATTGGCGAGCATCACAGCGCCACCCCCGCCTCTGCCAGCGCCTGCACGGCATCAAACTCGTCGCTCGGCATGCTGTGGTAATACGGGATCCGGCAGGCTGCAGGGCAGAGCAGCAGCCAGCCAAGTCAGCAAACAGAAATACCCTGCCCCCCAAAGAGGAGCAGCCAAGCCAGAGGGCAGCCCGGTTGCCGGCTTGAGCCTCCGCCGCTGCGAGCCGCAGCTCTCAACCAACGCGCAGCCGGGCGACACCGGCTTGCCTGTGCTGCAGCTTCAGGGGCCATGCCCGGCACAGGGCCCGGCTGTTGTCGTGCTTCTCCTGCAGCACCTGGTGCTGCTGCATCGCCAGCTTCACCGCACGCCTTAGCTCCTGACTCGCATCCTCCCCCTTTTTCGCAAATCCATCAGGCAGGGGCGGCAGGGCGGGCGAGGGTCGCCAAGTGGTCTGCAGCAGCTGCAGCTGGGAGCAGCGCTGCAGCAGGCGCTGCAGGTGCTGAGTCTCCAGGTTGGGCCAGCCCAGGTGCACCAGGTGGCGCAGGGAGGGCATGCTGGTAGCCAGGCGGACAAGGCCGGCGCCACTGCAGGGAAGGCAGGGAGGGTGGCACGCCGGCCCTTCATGAACCCACGCCTTCTGGATCGCTCTTGCCAGGCAGCAATCCAGAGAGCGGGGGGTGCCCGTAATGCACGTGTAGAGAGGGGAACGAGCAGCGGGCATCGGCAACCACAGCGCATGCAGCGCACACAGAGCCTGGCAAGGCTTGTGGCACGGCCCTGCCAGCCGCCCAGCGCCACAGCAGGCACAGCGCACACCTGAGCAGGTGGTGCTGCTGCAGGCAGAGGTAGGTTAGGCCTGGCAGCACCGGCGGCCCGGGCTGCTCTGCATCACCCAACGCCTCCGGCCCCGCGCCTCTCATGTTGGTGGTGCTGGCCCCAGGGGCAGCCCTGGCCGCAGCCTGGGCCGCCGACCAGTCATCCGCCTCTGGAAGCACCGCCTCCAGGCTGGCATCGTTGAGCACGGTCATGGACAGGCTGAGCCTGGCCAGGCGGGTCAGCGGCAGCAGCGCCGCCAGCGCCTGCCCGCCAAGCTCGTGAGCGTTGAGGAGGGACAGCGAGGTCAGCTGGGTGAGGCCTGCGGCGGGTCAGGAGGAACGGAGGGCAGACGGGGGCGGCTGTGGGAGGCGCATCGCTACACGCGCGGCGACGGCGGAGCGAAATGCCTGGCAGCAGGCGCGGCCGACGGCTGGCGGATGCCAGCTGGCTGCGGCGGGCGCGCGCTGGCGTGGCACTCAGCACAGAGAGTGGGTCCCCCTCCTCCGCCCCAGCCTCGCCAGGCGGTACCGTCGCCAGGCAGTACCGTGCCACCCACCAGACAGCTCCACAAGGGCCGTCTCCAGCACATCCAGAACCACAAGGTCCAGCCGGCGCAGGCCCCTCAGGCGCCGCCCGATGGCCGCCACCGCCCGAGTGTGCGCCTGCGTCGGCGGCGGCGGCACAGCATGGCGGGTGGGGCCCGCGGGGGAGGCCCCGGGCGCATTGCAGCAGCCCGGACCAGCGCCGGCAGTCCCGCGCAGCAGCAGCGACGGCAGGAGGCGTGCCAGGCAGGCCCACTTGCCTCGGGGTCTCTCCCCAGATCCATCTTGAGAGCAGTCAGCCCTGCCAGGCGGCTGAAGTCTGAGGGCGGAGTGGTCTGAAAGCAGCAGCAGCACCAGAGGCAGCAGCAGCAACAGGCGCCACGGAAGCACCAGAGCGGATGGGGTGTGGAGTGAGCATGGCAGGCTGAGGCAATGGCATGCCAAGGCAGCGTGTGGCTGGGTGGGTTTGCTCGCATCAGGCACGCCAGCGGGTGCAGGGCCTACCAACCACACATCGGCCAGCACCGGCTGCCTGCGCAGAGCAGGCGGCAGGCAGCAGGTGGCTGGTGGCAGGTCCCGGGACCACCTACCTGCAGGTTTGGAGCCACCCATGTGAGCGCCTCCAGAGCTGACAGTGCATGCAGCGGCACCACGGGCGTCTCGCCGTCCTGCGTTCGTGCCTCCAAGCTGAGCTGCCTCAGCCCGCCGCCCCTGCCGCCGCCGCCGCCCCGGCCGCAGCCGAGCTGAGCCAGCAGCGCCAGCAGCGGCGTGGCGGCCTCCTCCCCCTCGGCCCCTTCCTCGGCAAGCCACCTCAGGCTGAGGCTGGTGAGGTGTTGGAGCGCAGACAGGCGCAGCCAGTCGGCGCCGGGAATGGCAAGCTCCGGACGCAGGCCCAGCTGGTGCAGCTGCCGCAGCTGCGCCACGGCGGCCAGCAGCTCTGCGGCTGTGCCTTCCTTTAGACCTTCCATAGAAAGGTCCAGCTCAGTCAGGCCGCTCAGGCCGGCCAGGGCTGCATCCCCCAGCACATGTGGAGGCGCAGGGAGCCGCTTGTCAGTCAGGGGCACGGCGTGGCCTTGTGGCATGGGGACAAGGCAGAGGGGCAGGGGGGGGCACCGCCAGGCAGGCAGAAGCCGCAGCGCGCATGCAGGCTCTGGCATCCTGGCGGCGCCTCATGGCAGGCATCTAATGCGGCGTCTAATGACAGCGTTTCATGGCAGGGCATGGCGCTGCGCTCACCGGCGCCGCGCACGGCTCGGCAGGCCAGCCGGAGGCTGCGCAGCTGGGGCAGCTGGGGCAGGGCGGCCGGGGAGCCGAGCACCAGGGCGCTGGCAGACAGGTGCAGGCGCCTGAGGTGGCTGAGCCTGGACAGCGGCTGCAGGGAGGCTGGCTCCAGCAGCAGGCCCCACTTTACTAGCGCCAGGCTGACCAGCTCGGGGCAGGCCTCGGCCACCTGCTGCAGGGCGGCGGCGTGCTGGGATGCAGCCTGCGGGCACATGGCAGCATTGCCTGCATTGCCTGCAACAGGCGTTTTCAGGGAGGGGTCAATTGGGCGAGCAACTGCTGCGCTATATCGCAAGTCATCAGCGCAGCCGTTTTTAGGCTTGTGAGGAGGCGCCCCGGAGCTGGCCGCGTGCAGCAGACTCACTGGGGCTTTGGAGGCGCACCAGCCGCAGGCCGCCGCCAAAGCGGCGGGCCAGGGCCGCCAGCTCATCTGGTGGCACGTGAGGCCGCGGCGCCAGCACCGGCAGGGCGCCGTCCACCGCGGCCCGCCAGTCTCTGCTGACGAGGCGCAGCGGGGCGATGCAGAGGCCCCAGCGCAGCTCCCGTGACACAAAGCCCGCCAGCAAGGCATGGGCCACAAAGGCGGGCGGCGCCTGCCAGGGCCTGGGTGCTTGGGGCAGCTCGCTATACTCCATGCTGCTCGGTGAGTTTGGTTGGGAGCGGGCAGGGTTGTTGCGATGCCCTGCGGGGCATGCAGCAGCATGGTTAAGCGCAGGCGGCGGGGGTGGCGGCGGGTGGCGGGAGTTGAGTGGTGGCAAGGGCGCTGATCCGCGCCGATACTGGTGTGCAGCGAGACGCGGCTCGGCGATCGCTCTCATCAGCGTGGGCGGGTGTTTGGCGCGCACACCGCGTGGGAGGTCCTCGCACCTGAACGCTCAGTCTCCCCTGCCCCTTTTTGGGTGACGCACGGCGATCATTGACCGCAAGAGGGCTTCATGCAGATCGCCAAGGGCGCCCAGGCAATTTGCGCCGCCATGTGGCGTGCCCGCCTGGCGTTTCGGAGCATCTCCCCTGCTACACCAACCAACCCCATTGACAAGGTGTCACGAGCGCGCTGGGCATCAAACCAAATCAAGCACTGTGCATGCCCCATGCCCCGCCGCAAGCAGCCGCCGCGCAGCACCGCCGGCGCCGGCGCGGCTGCCGGCCCTGCCGCCTCATTCCACCGCCGCCATGCTGCCCCACTGCTCCCCAGCCTTGACCTTCACCGCCAGCGGCACCCGCAGCTGCACCACCCCCTCCATCACGCGCCGCAGCTCCTGCGGGCCAGGGCAGGGGGAGTGCCAGGCTCGAGGTGGCGCCTGAACGGTTGGCAGTGAAGCGGGCTGGGGGACTGGCGGCGGGCCTCAGCCTCGTCCTGCCAGGCCGCCTGCCTGCGAAATCATCAGTCCTCCAAGCACACACACAAACCCAGGAGACGCACCTGCGCCACCCAGGCCCCATCCACCTGCCGGGCATCCACCTCCACAAGCAGCTCATCGTGCAGCTGCAAGCAGGAGAGAGGGGGAGAGGAGAAAGGGAGAGAGAGGATGTGTCGGTGCGCGCGTGTGTGTGTGGTTGGGCAGCAAGGCAG